AAGTCATTTACAATATTGGGTTCATAAATCTGTCATGTGGTTCCTATATTTCATGATCTTTTAGTACCTGTAAATGTGCTTAGACTGGGAAGCTTGAGCCTCCTCTTCGCATGAAGAGACCTTTGTCCAGCCAAGCCCTTCATCTTCAACTCGATCTTTTCCTTTCCTACTTTGCTTTGTTTGAGGTTCAGCAACTAGACTCAAATAGTCTCATTCTTTCAAATAAACTGCAGTAGCTATTCTTGGACATAATGAAGACCACATAGGATTTACTTTCAGTCATATCCTAATTTCAGATAAGTTTTTTCATCCCTTAGTGTATTTTTGGCTTCTCTGAGCCTCAGTTTCTCCTCTGTAGGAAGAACATAATGCTTGTCCACACTGATGTTTTTCTTGATGAGGCCAGCAAGCAGCAGTGTGCCCAAGGCTGTATGCTAAATCTGTAAAATCATGATGATGCCCAATGCGGTGTTGGCTTTTTGCACCACAGCAGGGAGACAAAGTCGGATTGAAGCTAAATGCTTTTTTGTAACAACAAATATACAGGTGTCATAACATATTTTCTGTGTGAAGATTGAGTCACATGTAAAGCATTTTATGTATTTTCTGTATGAAGATTAAGTGAATGACATGTAAGCACTTAAAAGAATACTTTTAAGTATTATAAATACTTATTATTAGTTGTCTTGATTTACAGCCAGGCATGGTGGTTTACACCTGTAATCGCAGCACTTTGTGAAGCTGAGGTGGGCTAATCACTTGAGGTCAGGAGTTTGAGACCAACCTGGCCAATAGGATGATACCGCATCTCTACTAAAAATACAAAAATTAGCCAGGTGTGGTGGCAGGTGCCTGTAATTTCAGCTACTTCAGAGACAGAAGAATCACTTGAACCAGGGAGGTGGTGGCTGCAGTTAGCTGAGATTGTGCCATTGCCTTCCAGCCTGGGCAACTGGCAACAAAGCAAAACTCAATCTCAAAATAAGTACATACATACATAAAAAATAATAAAAATAATAAAACAATATTTATAACAAGACAAATAATAACATATTTGTTAAGATGAGAGCACTCCTTCAATGATTGGGACAGGCTCAAGATGGGAATAAAGATTTTATTACTTATAGTTCCTGAGGGGGTACACATTTTGCACAGAGGTGACACACACAGAGGTGAGGAATGCATGGAGAGAGAGAGAGAGAGAGAGAGAGAGAGAGAGAATGAATGAGACCTGCGGGCAGGCCATTGCCTATGGGTCCAGGGCAGGAGAGAGATGGGTGGGGGAGAGAGAGAAAAAGTAAGAGAGAGAGAGAGAGAGATAATGAGAATATGAGACCTGAGAGAGAGAGCGAGAATGAGAATATGAGACCTGCGGACCAGTGCCTTTATTTTTAATTCCAGGAGGTAAGAGAGGGAGGGAGGGAGGGAGGGAAAAAGAGAAATAGCGAGAGAGAGAGAGAGGCGCAGAGAGAGAGAGACAGAGAGAGAGAGAGAGACAGAGAGATAACCAGGGGTCCAGGTTTCGCATGGGGAATTTTAACAGGTTTGTTTAAAGCAAGCAGGCAGAAGTTCCAGGAGACCAAGCAGTGACTGAGAGGCAGTTACTGTGGTGTGTCTTCCCAGTCCATGCAGGGTGGAGGGTCACCAGGACCAGTCCAGCAGACTACATTTGCACGTTTCATAGGGAATTATAGGGCACATATCTTGATCCACCACACTGAAAAATGGGGGCGCTGCAGGGAGGTAGAGTGTAGAATTGGAAACTGTGTCAAGGGTGACTGAATCTTTCTTCTGGTATAACAAAGTCCAGCTTATATTTAAAATGGATGCCAAGGCAGCATAGAATTATAAGCATTCACTATACAAGTTTACCCCGTATTTTCATTGTCCTAATATTTCCCTACTTCCCAAGATAAATCTTAATATGATCTCACTTTCCCAATATTAATACTTTCCAAACAAATATATATATGCAAATGATATTTCTATTTTCCTTTAAACAATTTTCCCTTTCTTATGTAAAATGGAAAATCTAGCTATCAAATAGCAAAATAGCAGGAAGTGGTGTGATTTATGACTGCTGCTTGATAGTCTAATTCTACATGTATTAGTGAGAAGAAAATCTCTAAAGTTTCAAAAGCAAAAATGCAGAAAAATCTCTTTGGGGGCCAGTGTTCATGCCATCCCCAGTGCACTATCAGATAGTTGGTAAGAATGCTAGATATTTGAATACATGTTATCAAACCTTGTGCACATAGAAAATTATGATGTAAGATGAGGATATACCAAAGGCAGTTTTCTTTTATGTTCATAGCTATGTATGATTATACAATGTCCTCAAAAATCAAAACCATGGTGAGAACATTACTAAAAGATACTCGGGCATTCAATGATTGATCATCTTTATTTTAAATTCTTAGAAGTTTTTGATCTGTTAGTCATGTCTAATTTTTGTTTCCAAATGTAATGCCAAATTTGCCAAAAAGTATAAGAGATTATCTATATGCAATAACAGATACTATAGAAGCATTACTAGATAGCAAAGATAGAGCGGGACCAAACAGATCCTAAATCAATCTGTGAAACATATTCCCAATAGGTACAGCATAGTTCAGTGTTTCATTTCTGCCCTCCACAGAAAACAGTACTGTTATAGATACACATTGTATATTGATTTATTCAAACCATAAACATTTGGAGTTGTTATTCAATCAAGCGTGGCATTATCATTAAAATGTAGCGCCACTTGACATTTTGAAACACAATAAACTGGTTTATATTGATGAGCTATAAGGTGATGTGTGGCACAAATGTGACAAAAGTGATACAGAAAACATATTTTACATACCAGAATCATATTTATTTTGTAATTTGAATTATTCAAGGAATAGTTTGCCTTCCAGAAATCATACATTTTTATTTTGTAGAAAATTAAAGAGGAGTCTAAGGTTTGCTTTGTCCGATTACTAACCTTTGTTATTGGGCCACCTTTCTCTTGAAATCACAGTCTCATTTCTAAGTGATACTGAATAACTGAATAATGATTCAGATTAAAAAAAAAAAAGGGAATTTAGAAAATAGCAACTATGAATACATAGTCTTCTATATGCTAAGTTCTGCTTTAGGCATTTTACATTTTAGAATTATTTTAAGTAACACCACACATACCAATTAATGAGATGGTGTTCTCCCTATTTTATGTATAAGGAAACCATCACAAATAAGCAGCAGAGCAGATTTCAAATTTGATTCAATTCCACTTACCTCTAATCTTCCGGTCTGAGCAATGAGAAGTTGTATATCAACTGTTTTGTATATTTACCACCATAATATGCCACATGTTCATTATTTTTGATATTGCTAATTTCTTGATTTTTATAAGAAAAGGAAAATACTGTGTAATCATTGTGATGTGATTCTAATTTTTAAGCCTTTAATGACAATATTCAAAAAACATCGTAAATAAGACATAGATTGAATAGCTTCATACTAGTGTATAGTATAGATTAGTGTTTCCAAGCTATTTTATTCTTACCCCTTTAGTGTCTTAAAAATTTTTAATCCTTCTTGCTGTAATGTTAATACCATGGAAATATTGTATAACTGTTTATAAACTTTAGCTCTTTGAGCACACCCGACCATTATGATGTCTAAGGACTTTTTTCTTTCCTCCAATAATTAAATTTGCTCCCTGGTGCATTATTACTGTCCTTGAAAAATGCATCATAGAGACCAAATTCTGAGTCAGTCAGCTATCATCTATTAAGACAGTGGTTAACAAGGTATCATCTGTGCACTAGAGGCATAGCATCACCTTAGGAATTTTTTAGACATGCAAATCCTCAGGCCCCACCTAAACGTCCACACTTAGAAACTCTGAAAATAGACCTGTTCAGTCTGGTTTAATGAGCCTTCCAGGTGATTATGATGTATGCCACCAGTTCTGGATAGATTGTTGAAAGATGGGCCCATGGCTTGATTGCAGCATTGAGTTAATTACTTTATGTCTCAGTTTTTCCATCCTGACAAAGCCCAGACAACTCTTAGTTTGAAGCCTCATACACAAAACCTCAGTGGAAAAGCTACTCAGGGGTCCTGTTGAGAATTCACCTGGCTTTCAGAGGGAAGGAAAAGGATAAGACTGATCATCCCAAACCACTTCATTAGGACATTTTTGCATTTTTTTTAAAAAAGAAATACTCAGCATAGTACCTCTGATTACATTGAGAAAGGCCTGGATTTCTCCAAAAACAATGAATGGAAAAATAGGCAAATAAGTAAATATTGATATTCTGTCTCAATAAACATTCATTATGTATGTGAAAACAAACAGAAACAGGGGTATCCAAATTTTGTGGCAGAATTAATTATGTAACAAATGGGGAAGAACTGGGATCCATCAGGAAAACATGCTTGTTTCACTGTCTTGAATTTTTCATTTATAATATTTGCTTCTGTGGTTTTATAAAAGGAAGAAAAAAAATTTTTTTGTATTTCTTAGTTCTACAGAGCTTCTCTAGTCTTCTTCTCCTACCTACCATTCTAATCATGTACTTGCACAGATTGGCTCACCCACTTTATTGACTTTTTTCCAGCTTAGATGTATGCAGTCTGTTAATAAACAGAAGTATTTATTTTAATATGCAGCATGATTAAAAAAGAGAGCTTAATCTACAGAGTTGAAAACATAAGAATAATAGGCTACTATGGTGAAACCTCACAAACCACCAACTGTAGAACATGCAGTACTTAAAACTTGAGAAATATTCTATGATGCCATGATCTATAAACATCCACCTTACAACTCCAATTCAAGATTTCCTGAGTCAGTGATTTACAAAATGCAAATAACTGGTAACTGAAACTCAGATTTGGTGGAAGAAAAAGCTTAATATTGACTTAATATGATAAGGTTTAGCATGTATCATTCAATTAGAAATCAAATACTGTATGGAATAAGAATCATTTTCAAGTTTATTCTCTGTTCTGTTCTGTTTTAGATGGAACTTGCTAAGGAAGAAAAGTGTGAATTTCTGCCATTCCTGTCCCCACGGAAGGTTATAGTAAAAGGTGGGAGAATTGTTGCTATGCAATTTGTTCGGACAGAGCAAGATGAAACTGGAAAATGGAACGAAGATGAAGATCAGATGGTTCATCTGAAAGCCGACGTGGTCATCAGTGCCTTTGGCTCAGTTCTGAGTGATCCTAAAGGTACAGTGCTGGGAGCTGAAATATGTGATGCAATTGTCTGTTATTTTAGTGCCATAATGGTTTCTAGCTTTCAGGGAATTGGTTTTCACTTTATTTATTTACCTCTTCTAGTTAAGAAGTACAAACAATCTTGATTCAAAAAGCTTAGAAATGGTATTTAATGCTTATACAGAATTATTTTTAAAGTGGCAAGAATTAACGAGAACATTAATCTTTCTTTTAAGTTGATAACCAAAATACCTATGTTACCCTATAATGATATTTGCCTTGTTTCTTATGGAAGAATGGCTTTTCTTTTCACTTAGACTAAAGTGAGAAAATGAAACAGAGTAGTTGGAACAACCTGTCTTCAATGATTCAGACAAATTAAAATCTAATGAATGGCCAGAAATATAAATTGTGTTTATTACTATATTTATGCCAGATCATCACATCAGACGTCAGAATTGTCAAATTGGAAAGCTTAAATATCTGTCATTTCACCTGGATGGCATAAGTGAATATGCTGAGAAAAACAAAATGCTTTTTTAAAAGATAATGAGAGAAAGAAATGTTTTATATAACATTTCAACTGAATAACGATTCAATCAAGTAAGACTACTTTATCTTATACTTTTCCCACATACAGTGTTTTTGTGGGTCATTGCAGATGAAAGTTTACGTATCTAGGTATGTTCATTTTACAAATCCTTTTACCTTTTAATTCGAATTATTGAAATGACAGTTAACTCTTTTGTTTACTGTAGTGTTTTGCAAATATGTTTTTCTAGGTTAGAGATTCATTAAGAACGACCATACCAAAGTCTCCCTAAACCTAATGATTCCTGTCTGTGACTTGCTACTGTATTCATGCTAAAATTACATTTTTGTCTGAAATTGGAAGAGATATATACATGCAAATGTATATTTTCATGCCACAGATAAGTGAAAAATTCAACTAGTCATCAGGATATTTTATCTGCAGGACATCAAACATCTTGGTATTTGGAAACATCCAGATGTTTAATGTCATCAAGATAAATGTTTTCAAATAGCTAGATGGTAGCCTAAATTTGTCACTTTTTATCTAGACATTTAAGTGGTATGGAGACACAGAGTATGGTTCATTTATTTAACTGAATTCAGGCAGGAAAAAAGTTTTCAATATGAAAACTGCATTATATTATCTAAAAATCATATTCTTACTATTTAAATACTCGGTACATCACCAAAAATCAAGGAAAATGTTGAATCATGTTTAATTAGCAATTCTTTTGATCATTTTCCTATCCAAAAAGGTTTGCTTAACTATGAAACTTAATGTTTTATAATTGAGAATCCTAATATTAATGAAAATTATCTTTTCCTGAGCAAACCTAAACAGATTTGACTTAGAAAACAGCATTTGCAATCTCAGATGTGATTTTATAAGCTTCTCTTGTGTGTGGTTGTGTATGTGTGTGTCTGCGTGTGTGTGTGTGTGTGTATTTGTGTATACATCTATGAAGAATAAAAGACTTAAGTTAGCATATAAAATATGAAGAAGGAGAAAATTTTATCTACTCAAATTTGACTAGCTTATTTCAGAATTTTTGCATTTTATTCCAAACTTTACGGTGTATATTTCTTCTAGTACTTCACATATGCCACCGCTTATACATTTAAAGAAATCAACGAAAAAAATGTTTTTTCACTATGTTTTTTTTTCCATTTCTATTTGAAATAATAAACAGTCTGGAGAAATTATCCTTAAGTAGAATTACCAACTTTACCAGGAGTCTTCAATGTTTACATTACTAAGAAGTTATACTCCAAGTGAGGAGGAGCTGGCAGAACTGCAGTGTGAGATAGCATTCATTCCTGGACTCCCATCCAAATGTTTCCAATACTGTTTTTTTGGATGGAAAACATTAAAGAAAGGAGTCAAGGAAGCACTATTTGTTAGAATTCTATTAATAAGGTTTTACTCAATAGTATTTAAAATCTTAATAGTTTCAAAGTCAGAAAACTGACATGTGCAGACATACATGTAAAATACAGTGAAAAGCGTTTTTTTGGAAGCAAGTTGTCCATTTGGGTAAGAAGAGAAGATATTCATGTTAACCTTCTTCTACCATAAATTTTGTTTCATCCTAACACCTATGTGCTGTCCTTTATATGTGGTACCTAGTGATTATCACAAATTTGACACATTTTAATATATTCATCTTTTAAAATGTTAACTTCTCTTTCCACCCCTCCACTTTTCTCCTTTTCGGCCTCACTTTGCACAGACTCTAATGAGCTGCATGTTGAATGCAGTGCCATTTTTTCAGTCCTTATTCTATTTTCTACATCTTGTAATTGATAATATTAATGATTTCTGTTTGAAATGCTCTTCTCCTAGTCACTTAAACTTTCTGAGGCTCACAGAAAATCAAATACCACATGTTCTCACTTATAGGCTGGTGTTGAACAATGAGAACACATAGTCATAAGGAGGGGAGCATCACACACTGGGGTCTGTTGGAGGGAGACTAGGGGAGGGACAGCGGGGGTAGAGAGGTTGGGGAGGGATAACATGGGGAGAAATGCCAGATATAGGTGATGGGGGGTATGGAGGCAGTAAACCACATCACCATGTATGTACCTCTGCAGCAGTCCTTCATGATCTGCACTTGTACTGCAGAACCTAAAGTACAATTTAAAAAAGCGTTCTGAGGCTCAATTTCTTTATCTATTAAAAAATACAAGCATAATAATATCTTCTCTTTCTGACTCTCAGGACTATTGTCAGAATTAAGATGAAGTAATGTAAAGGACTTGGAAACAAAACCAGAATGCATTCTTGTTTGTGACATTCTGTTTCCTTGCTTCTTCTTTTAACTATTCCTTTCCAAGCCTATCACTGACCGCTTTTCTTCCTCCAGCTTTTTACTTTCAAAAGTTCAGAATTTGTTCATTTCCTCTCCTTAACATATTTATGAGTGAACTGTCTTGTTTATTCATTCATTCATCCATACTTATTTGCGTTCATTCCTCAAAATATATAAGTGAACTCGTGTGCTAGACAGTGGCTAGACTTACAGCAGGCACTATTTCCTATCTGTGTAAAAATAACTCTGAAATCTAGTTTTCCACTCCCCATTTCTCAGAAGACCTCCTTTCATCCTAAATTTTAGTTCATGCATGTGACAAACGTTTACTGAGTATCTAATGAAAATGAATGAGTCATTGCATGGATTTTTCAATTCCATAGACTAGGTGTGGAGGCAGATCTGTAATCAATAAATTTTATTTAAAAGTGAGGAATTTGTACATTAAGAGAGATTTGCATACAGCAAAAAAAGTTCACCTTATCAGAATCTTTTCTCAACTTCACTATTACAAATGGTACCATTAGTACTCCCCATAGCCAAAGTTCAAAATTTTACCCCAGTTCAAATTTCTAATTATAATTTTTATTAAATGTACCAATATTGTCTTATACTATTGTATAAAGCTTCCACTTCTTAACACATGAGAACATCAGCAAATGGCCTTCTATACATTCTGTGTGTCCAGCTGTATTTTCTTCCATTCCCTGTTGAATTATTCCTCCCAGCATCCAGCATAGGGTGGATTCCATAGTGGTAACAGAGAAAACCTTTGGTAAATGCATTACATAAAGATATGCTGAAAAAATCAAGGAATGATGTAAACTTGACAGTGTACATATAAAGTATAGTGATAAATTGCACTCTTAGCAGTCTACGATTACTATAATATTTTAAATGAAAATAGTTTTAAAATATCAAATATATCAATAATACTAACTTGAAAAGGTAAGCTAAATTGGAAAATTTAAAGAAGATTGCATTTTTTTTTATGTTTTTGTGTTATATATATATTTTATTGCAATTTAGGTTCTGGGGTACATGTGAAGAACATACAGGATTTTTGCGTAGGGGCATACCTGGCAATGTGGTTTGCTGTCTCCATGCCCATCACATATATTGGCATTTCTCCCCATGTTATCCCTCCCTAACTCCCTACCCCTTGCAGTCCCTCCCTTAGTCCCCCGCCAGCAGACCCCAGTGTGTGATGATCCCCTCCCTGTGTCCATGTGTTCTCATTGTTCAACACCTGCCTATAAGTAAGAACATGCGGTGTTTGATTTTCTGTTCTTGTTTCAGTTTGCTGAGAATGATGGTTTCCAGGTTCATCCATGTCCCTACAAAAGACAGGAACTCATCGTTTTTTTATGGCTGCACAGTATTCCATGGTGTATATGTGCCACATTTTCCCTGTCCTGTCTATCATCAATGGACATTTGGGTTTGTGCCAGGTCTTTGCTATTGTAAACAGTGCCGCAATGAACATACATGTGCATATGTCTTTATAATAGAACTATTTATAATCCTTTGGATATATACCCAGTAATGGGATTGCTGGGTCAAATGGAATTTCTATTTCTAGGTCCTTGAGGAATCACCACACTGTCTTCCACAATGGTTAAACTAATTTACACTCCCACCAACAATGTAAAAGTGTTTCTATTTATCCACATCCTCTCCAGCATCTGTTGTCTCCAGATTTTTTAATGATCACCATTCTAACTGGCGTGAGATGGCATCTCAATGTGGTTTTGATTTGCGTTTCTCTAATGACCAGTGATGATGAACATTTTTTGATATGTTTGTTGCCTCGTATATGTCTTCTTTTGAAAAGTGTCTGTTGATGTCCTTTGCGGACTTTTGAATGAATTTGTTTTTTCTTGTAAATCTGTTTTAGTTCTTTGTAGATTCTGGATATTAGCCCTTTGTCAGATGGGCAGATTGCAAAGATTTTCTCCCATTCTGTTGGTTGCCGGTTCACTCTAATGATTGTTTCTTTTGCTGTGCAGAAACTATGTATTTTAATTAGATCCCATTTGTCTATTTTGGCTTTTGTTGCTAATGCTTTTGGTGTTTTAGTCATGAAGTCCTTGCCTATGCCTATGTACTGAATGGTTTTGCCTAGATTTTCTTCTAGGGTTTTTATGGTGTTAGGTCTTATGTTTA